GTTCCCACTTGATGCGTAACTCCTTCCCTCTTACAACCTTCTTGTTAACTGCTGTCTGGCTACATCCTATGGAACCATTATCTTTGGCTTGAATTCTTATCACAAAATTATGAAATTAATCTAATAAAAATATTCATTCCAATTATCTAACATCTTAAAATTCTGTGTCGATTCCGCGGCGGGCCACGACTTGTCTCGAGCACACGCCTCTAAACGGACCCGCCGACGCAGTGAAAGTTGCCTCTTCCTACCCACAGACCCCATCACTTATCGCGCTGACGCCTCGCCTCTCTCTTTCCTCTTCCTCTTTCTCTCTCTCTTTCCTCCGTACGTTTACGCTTCTATGGGCCGCGTAACGACTTTGCGATTGCGTATGTTGGGGGTTGTATCTGCTCTGCTACTTTCACGCGCGGTTGGTAGCGACACATGAATCGACACATTTTTCAATGTTAATTCAAGCTGTTGTAGATTTTATGCAAAGTGTTGTTTAGAATAGCATATATCTAGTTATTTGCATCAGGGAATATAATTAAATTAATAGATACGCAATGGCAGCTTGGCAAACTTATTGTGATCATTATTTAAGTGGCATTGAAGTTGGCGCTTATCATCACCAATTAAACTTGTAGTTGGTCATTCTCGCGCGAATGCACGACCATCTTCACGGCCGGAAAGTGACCTTGCCTCCCTCTTCGCCCTGCAGATGGCGTGGCTGCACATGACCGTGGCGATACTGGCGGCGCTGGCGAAGTCGAGCCACGCCCAGGGCAGCCAGGGTTACATCGCTCCCGACCCGCCGTGCTACGCTCCCACGGTCACCGTCTACGACACGGAGACGCAGATCAGCACACTCGTGGAGACGGTTTCCACCACGGTCGTCGAGAATGTGGTGCTGACGGAGACCGCGTACGTCACGGAGACGCTGACGGAGAGGGAGGTGCAGTCCGTCACGGAGGTGGAGACCGTCGTCGCCACGGAAACGGAGGAGGTGAGGCGGTTGTAGGTCGGAAGGCTGATGTCTACTGTTGCTAAAATAAGTGTTCCAAAGTTATTTGACAATCGGCTGGGCCTGATTGAACCGATGAATTAATTCCTCACACTTCCTCGTAAATAAATATGTTTAACGCAGTTTGATATCATGATTCTTGCTCTTATCATTAGCATAGAGTGTACCTAACCTAATCGGACTTTACTGCATATCGCTACCGATGGTATGAAGGTTTATGAAAAATGATGGAAGTGTCAAGCGTTTACTTCTGTTTTTCGTGGATTCTGTCTCTCCAATGGTACTTTAGACTAAAACACCTTGTTCCCCGCAGGTCATAGCGACGGCTTACGAAACAGTCTACGAGACGCAGGTGGTGACGCAGACGGAGACGCAGGTGGAGGAGCGCACAGCCATCGTCACCGAAACGAAGGTCGAGGAAGTTGAAGTGACCAAGTGCGCCGCCCCCGCCCCGCCTCCCAGGCCTGCCTATGGCCTTTCTACGTCCTACGGCCCCCCACCCCGCCCATCCTACAAAGCCCCAGCGCCGGCGCCCTCCTACGGCCCCACGCCCATGCTGATGAGTCTGGGCGGCTTCAAGGGTTACCCCGGTTTCAAGGGATTCGATTTCCAAGGCTTTAACCCATTTTCCCAGTATGAAAGTAGTGACTAATTTTTTTTTTAATCTGTAGATTTTAAGGTCCATTTATTTATTGATGGAACCAAGTCTTTCATTATAGATTTTCAGACGTTTTTGTTTGTCTAATTAGATATCGCTTTCAGTATATTCGCCATAATTTATTTCTCTAAAAAACTTTTCAACTCTAGTCTGTTTCCTGAACGCGAGGATGCCTCACAACAGATTGAAGATTTCTTAAACAGAAAAGACCCATTTTGAAGCATATTTGCAATAACAGAGAAAAACAAATTGGATCTCGATTTCCCGCTGGCGCCAAAATTTAAAAATGTCGGTTATGACGCCGGTTACGTTATGACCTCAAGGAAACGTTCGTGTCTCCATTTTCTGTGCATCTTTTTCCTGTTTTGGTATAAATAAACCAAATGTATTTATAATGCTCGCATTCATTTAACCTTCACTGACTAACGTTTATGGACACGCTACTATGTTTCTTTTTCAAGACAGGAGCTCTGTGTGAAATATATATACTGTATACATATGCACACACACACGCACACAAACAAACACACGCACACACACACACACACACACACACACACACACACATATCGCACATATGCACATATGCGCGTGTGTATAAAATAGTAGATTGATGTAAATTGTATAAACACGCAAATATCATATACAGGCAAAATAGATACAACGGTAAGATATATTTTGATTTAAACGTTAATCTATGCGGGTAAACTGCCTTAAGCCCAAATGCATGACGGTTCGAATCTTAAATATATGAGAGACAGGACTGCATGATTTTCTTCGCGAAATCACGAGCCTCACACCCTTTTTCGAGACGTTTGTTGTATCGTAAATCATCT